CAGGCAAAGAAACCTTCAACCAGAAAAGCTTACATGTATAAATGGAAGCATTATTACTGCAGCATTATCACTACCTTCAACCAATCCTTCCCTTACCACGGTTCTTCATTTTCGGTTACAGCTAAAAATGAAGGGCCTTCTTCTTTCATCTCCAAAAGTCTATGTTTCTGCAATTGTCACTCATCAGCCGCCAACTTCTTCAGCAGCTATGTTTTTCAGACACCCTACTCTGAAACGCTTCTTTAAAGGACTATCACACATGTATCCTGACATATATCCGCCACCACCTCAATGATCACTGCCGTTAGTCCTTCAGCGGCTTACAAGGACCCCATTTGAGCCCCTGGCATCAACTGACCGTCTTAAAGGTTACTTACCTTTAAGACAGCGTTCCTTGTGGTTATTACATCAGCACAACGTTTTAGTGAACTGGCAAGCTTGAGATCTGACTACCCTTATCTCCAGTTTTACCCAGATAAGGTCAAACTCTTTGTAAATACTTCCTTTCTGCCCAAGTTGTCTCCCAATTCAACTTATCCCAACCTTTGGTTCTCCCCTCTTTCTTCCCATCTCCATCTACTCCTCAAGAAAAAAATCCTCCATACTTTGGATGTGAGAAGGGCTCTTGCCTTTTATATAGCCCATACGCAACCCTTCAGATGTTCAGCTTGACTTTTTTTCAGCTACCAACTTCCTGCCAAAGATCTTCAAATCACCTCACAGAGGATGTCCAAATGGATTGTTTCCACCATTCAGCTTGCTTATAAGCTTGCTCGACTCCTGGTCCCACAAAATATCCACCCCCATTCCACCAGGGCATTGGCGACATCTAGAGCTTTTCTTCGAGGCATTCCCCTGCCTGACATCTGCTCCACATGGCCACAACTATCCACATTTATCAATAATTACAGATTGGATGTTTGGCAGAAATCAGATGCTGCTTTTGGACGTGCTGTGTTGTCATCTCCCTTGGTGTGACACCCTTCTCTGGGTAAGACAGCTTGTTACTCACCCACAGGGTGATTCACAGAGGCCACGAAAAAGAACGACAGGTTACCTACCTTTAACTGTAGTTCTTTGAGTGGACCTCTGTGATTCACACATCCCAACCTGGCCTCCCCTCTGTCACATCCTATTTGCTTTATGCGGCGGTTGACCTAACTGAAGGGAGAGCCTTGGCGCCAAAGTACATATACCAAGGGGCAGGGGTCTGCACTAATGTATCTTTTTGTTACCGCAGAAGCTCTAGAATATTTTGATGAGGCTCCATGCATGTGCAGATTACCCACAGTGTGAATCACAGAGGTCCACTCAAAGAACTACAATCACAGGTAGGTAACCTGTCGATCTGGGCGTTCACTTGGACAACAGAATATTGGACTGTACAGTCTCTAGTCTGGTATCAGAGGATTCTTCATATGTTCTAATGGTATCTTTGAGGTTTTGACTTAGTACCTGCATGGGAAGAAGAGTATTTTTGCTGGGATTATGTGGCAGAGAGAAAAACTTAAACCCACTCCTCATGAGCTGTGGCCCCAACCCTGATTGATTTCTTAGCTTCTCTTTGCCACTTTAAAATTATAACAGCAGCCTGATATATAAAATGGGAAAGGAGTTGAACACTTAACAATTCACTGTCACACACACTAACAACATTTTAAAAATGTATCCCAGTAGAAGCAAAAATAGGGGCAATTAGAAAGGGATCAGAAAAAAGGAATTAAAGACTGTCCCAGCTTTCCCAGTTGAAACATCTGCCATCCCAGTAACTCAGTAGATCATTTACCCCTTCCCCTTCACACACAGATGCAAAAGGAATATGGTGGTAGAATATGGATGAGAGAGAATCATTAAATAGGGGAAATGTTCCCAAATGTTACCAAAGAATTGGGAAACATAGGAAAGTTTTGTGTTAATGGTATCCTACTTGGCAACCATGGTGTATGCTCTGATGTGATACTTTGGCTTTTGGCAGACAAAAAGAAAATGAGATTCCTTTTCCCCATCAACTTTCACCTCTTTCTCTTTCTTGTATACACAAAGTCACACATTGCATATATAAACAGTGTCAGAGAATCTTTTTCCTTTCTTTCAGGAATAAAGACCTGTACATCTGACCTCTACCAGCTCCAGCCAGCTAGTCTTTCACATATCATCAAACAACTACAGCTTTACTCTATTTTTATTTTTATCCAACCAGGAAGATTAACATGCACCATTCCAGGACTCAGTCATCTTGTGGGCACCTTTTGCTTTGCTTTTATCTATTAAACAAAACAAAACAAAAAGGACGGTGTGCTCTTCACATCTTTTTCTTCAGGCATAGATGGAATTGAATTTGGTAGATGGGTAGAAGAAAAGAGTCTTAAAAATCTGACTAAATGGTATCAATTTGCACTTTCCCCTCTCTGTAGATAGGAAACACTTGAAAAAAAGTGGTTATGTAAATGTAAAGTATTGGAAAAGGTTAAGTACTGAATTTCACTCTGCAGTCAGACATGTTTTCCTCATGCGTAATTCAGTAGCTCAGAATTCCCTCTATCCGACAGTTACAGTTTGAAGCACATGTACCCGTCTGATTTTCTAATGCTCGCTTTTTGGTAAGAAGTGCGCAGAAAAGGGGTGCTGCCATGTTACAGATACTGGTAGTCGGTAGTCTTTAATCTTTAGATCTTGGGTCCAGCTCTAACTGGACCAAACCTAGTGTTTTTATTCAACCATGATTAGCTTAATCTGTGTGCCTAACTTGGTCCCCTCCCAGCTATTGACACCAGGGACTGGTTTAGTTGAAGACCATTCTCCCAATGACCGGGGTGGTGGTGGGGTGTTATTTGTTATGCAATAGGTTGTTGGAGGATATCTTTGAATCTAGCTCATTACATGTACTGTATTGTATTACAGGTGAATGGCGAGCAGGAGCATGAGGTGAGCTGCAAATGAAGCTCCACCTCCTGTTAGATCATCAGCACGGGTGAATGGCGAGCAGGAGCAGGAGGTGAGCTGAAATTGAAGCTCCACCTCCTGTTAGATCATCAGCAGCATTAGAACCTGACAGGCGCACAGGCTCCTACATTAGATTCTAATGCCACAGGCACAGCTGATCTAGCAGCAGCAGGCGGGGAGCAGGGAGCAAACTCCACCTCCTGTCAGATCAGCAGCGGTATTAGAACCTGATAGGAGCATGCTCACAGGAGGCGGAGCTTTGCTTGCTATTCCCCTCCTGCATGCTGCTTATTTTTCCTGGCGGCCCAGTCTTTCCAAGGCCATGGATTGGGACTGGTCCGCAGCCCAGGAATTGGGGACCTCTGCTCTAACTAACTAACTAACTAACTAACTAACTAACTAACTAACTAACTAACTAACTAATTTGTCATGAGGATGCATTAGCTTGTAAAGCAACATTTTCATCTTCAATAACAGCTGCTGATGGGGAGCTATTCTAGTTCAAAACACAATTCACTGAACGGTGTTGTACCAAATAATTCCATGTATCAATTCTGGCCAGTTTTTTGGATCTTTGCTGCTTTTCTGTTCCCCGTTATATGCTGAGGTAAAATACAGGCTCTTCTTGATCACTATTATCACCATTACAAGGACAATTCCTTCAGATAGTTGATTTTGGGGTGCAATGCAAAGGCATCATTATTACGTATTTCAACATTGTTGTTACTCTTTTTACTTAAGGCAAAAGCATTATGAAGGTCCCAAAATAACTTGACCAACCTTAGTTTTTATGGCCTTTCACTGGGCAAAGATGCCATCTGCTGTTCTGCCTCAGGCAGCACAAGCTCATAGGTTGGGCTGGCATTGTTAATAGTTATGGCTTCTGTTGATCTCGGTTGTCAACTGGCTACAGTCATTCTGAGGCTTTCAGCAGAAACCCAGAAACAATTTCTCCCAGCAGGCCATGTTCTCTATTATCATCTAAGGACAGGCCTCATTATCCCCTGTGTTGCCAGCTGCCATCACTGCTATGGGAAGAGAAACGTGTTGCCTAGCAACAGCCAGAACATGACTGGGGAGCACTTGGAGAGAGAAAAGTTTCTGCCAAATGTTTTCCCATATCTATTTGTTTTTGTAACTTGCATCTCTCACTCTTTTTTGATGAGGGTTTTAGGGATGGCACACAATACTCATCAAGTATTCCCTTCCATGTTTTGGAAAGGTAGCTTAAACTTGCTTGGCTTTCAGGTCAGCCATTTTGCGAGTTGAAGCTAGGAGAGAATATGGCAAAATGGCTGACCTGAAAGCCAAGCATGGCATGAAGAAAGAAACAGGAGGGGAAATGAATTCTGGTTAGAACCTACTTTGCTTGCCTCCCCCAGTTGTTGCCTTTTCCATCTCATATCCCAATACGGACCCTATGTCATTAAGAGCTGCCTGAAATACGAAAAATCCATTGAATGCACCCTTTTTTTCCTGCATGAAAATTCATTAATGGAGAAAACAATTTTCATCAACTATGCATTGCAGTGTTCATTCCTCTTTCTCATCAGCACTTGCTTTTTTCCCTAGTCCATGTTCTTGTCTTGGTATTTATCAAGTGAGGAAGGCCTTGTTAAAAACTGACAGTGAAAACTGCTTATATTGTCATGCTTCAGGGTTCACTTTCTCAGGGTATCTACGTATGAGATCTCTTGAGTGGGAAGCATATGTCTTTATTTTTGGTGCAAATGTGTGAGTGTAAATACTGAGGGTGATGGGCATTGGAGTCTAACACATCTGGAAGGGACTAGGCCAAAGAAGGCTACATTAAGACGTACAGCTGGTCATTTTGCGCACTCCACCTTGCTGGATACTGTAAGACACTTATGTTTTCCTGATACTGTAGTTCTTTAGTTATGAGGAGGCCCTGCCTTCTTTAATTGTAAATTAGTAGCAGACATGGCTACTGCAGAGTAACATTAGTGACATAATATAATGTATACAGAATATAAAAATATAATAAACAAATAAATGATACCATTGCAACTCATGTAACTTGTATAGCTTTCCTGAGCACCCAATGAGCATTGGATCACAATTTTATATAACAAGTGCAGTTTATTATGTACAAGTCAATTTACACAAATGCCCAAGGTTATCTGCTATAAATCTGTTCTCATCTCATCCTTATTTCTCTTCTGCTTTATTTTAATGTTCATACCTTTAGCAGATCATGCACATGCCAACAGCGCAACCTGTTGCAAATGTTGTGCCTTCCCAGTTTTAATACTGATATCAGCTTTGTTTGCAGTAGCAAAACCAACCAGAGGTCACAATCAATTGTTTCACCTGCTGCACAAAAAAAAATCTTATATATAATTGCCACAAAGCAAATCTCTCACCAAGTTCCATTGGGTTTACTCCCCAAAAGGACCGTAACCTTGAATTCTTTTTCTTTTTTCTTCTTCATTTCCTTTGGTACAATCTCTTTTATCCATGAGGAATTTTTTTCTAAGTATCAAAATTGCTAATGTACTCCAAAAATTATGACTTGCACAGCAGAAAGTTAATGATTCAGATTTATTCTGCCTTCACTTCACATGCTCACAAAGCTGAGAAGGCTATTGCTTTTCTAGGCTAAGCAGTTTCATCTGGACAAGTAACAGTACAGATCTGTCCTTCTAGGGCTACTTTTTCAGATGACTGCAGTTAACTTTATACGTATGCAGAAGTTCACTCAGTGCTTTACTTGCATTATAAAAAGTCACTAGGCATCGTTACACTTTGTGGACTTCAGATAAAGCTGCTGTCATGTTTAAAAAGGCCTCTGGTGGGATCATTATTTTGGTGCTGACTTACCAATCCATCCATATGGTCCCCAAAAGTAAGATAAATTAGATGTAAGGGGAAATTGATGTATCAGTTTGGATGGCCTGCAAACCATCTCTGTGCTCACCAAAGAGCAATATAAAATGTCTAGCTGTTGATTTTTAGGGTATTATCCACAGCATCTAACTTCTTGGGTCTTCCTTCTCTTTTAAATGTAGTGGATTTCTGTTTCCTTGTATTGATTCTTCTCTTTTCCACATGTCTTTTTTGCATCTCAAGGATGCCTTTAAGCCAAAACAAGGAGAAAGAGCCATGTTGTAGGGGAAATTGATGTCTTGTATGGTGTTCAACAAGATGGCATTTCAGACACAACTCTTTTGGGGAAAAAGTGATATTGCAAATAGGTGGGCTCTGTAAGAAGAAAGAAAAAGATTCACTAATATGTTTGAAAAGTTGTTTAAAAAATAATTAAAAATAACCTTCCCAACCATACATCTGTAAGTCTCTTTCTCCTCTCCACCCACTCCTCAAACAGGAAATAATGCAAATCTTCTATACAGCATTTAAAGTAGGAAGGCTAAAATGTTATGTTATGCATTTCCCATCTCAAGTTATTTGATTAGAAACCTGCAACTAATTATGCAAACATGTTTTAGTTATTTTGGGTATTGATTGCACAATTTTGCTATAATAAGGATGGGAGTTTTTGCATCTGTACAGACTGGTGAATTCTTTTGACTGAGGTACTAAAATCTTTCAGATAAAATCTGGAAGTAGAGCATTAAACCAGGAACACTATCTAGAATGGGCTCTAAACTGCATTCCCTACAGCCAGAATTTTCCAAGACATATTCCAAGGGACCTGGTTGGCAGAGTTGTGCCCATCGTATCCACTGCACAATTACCAATAACTACCTTCAGAACCAAATCCCAATCTCAAATATTTTGTTATTTTGTACAGGGTCTCACCATCATAGCAGTCAGGCAATGGCAAGACACCATCGAAACAGCGGCTCTCTGCCTGAAAACTACATGTCTTGTTTTGACTACGGCAAAAAAATCTGACAATTTCACCATGATGGACCAAACCATCTGGAATCTCATTGATCCAGAGCTTGCGCCCATGGTAGACCACCCGACTCCTCTGGGCAGTGATGTGACAGCGAGCTGTAGAGGAGAAAAACACACAGTCTGTTAAATGGGATCAACAGAGATATATTGGCTCTTCACATGTGGAATGGCAAAGAGAAAGGGGATGTAGATTTGAACAGATAGGTTGGTTAAATATTATTAAAAGGTTGCGGGAATTAGGACAGTACCTCTACAGTAGGGTAGTTGGGACCAGCTTCCATTCTCCAGGCAGACAACTCTGTTGGAGCCATCCAAGAAGAAGTCCTTTTTACACAAGTAATAGATCACGGTTCCCACCGGATATTCAGACTGATGCACAGCAACTAGGGTTGCCTGAGCAACATTGGGGGGACGGGAGCAGTTAACAGCTAGGGAGAGAGGAAAAAATGAAGTTCTAATTGAATGTACAAGAGTATGGATCTATGGGAAGGATGTGCTGATTAGGGGTGAATGGATAGGTACCTACACAAATGGATGAAAGAAATGTGGACAGAACAATGTGCATAAAGTTGAGGGATGCTTTACCAGGGGACAGAGTAAGCCAGATAAATGGCTAGAAGGGTCAGTGGGTTGATATATCAGTTCTGTGATGGTCATATACATAAATAAATACGTAGGCAGGCATTTGTTTTTGACTCAGACTTCACAATTTACCTTCAGGTCAAGCTCCTGGACACCCCCTGTTTAAGATAAATGTTGTGCAATCTGGGTAACTAAGGAACAGAATACTGATATTTGACCCTGATCAAGAAGCAAAAAAGTTGTTTCCCCATTTCTCTTCATTTTGACTACTTACAGTGACAGGTTGGAGCTGGATGTGACCATTCCTTGTTCTCTTGGCAAAAGAGAGAGCTGGCCCCTTCTAGACGGTATCTATGAGGTAGGGAACAAAAGGGGATGGTATTAGGAGGGAGGGTTCATTCACTCTTTCCACTTAATGATGTTCTATAAGTTGGGGAATGTCTTGGCCATGTCTTTTGTAAGAGAGGTGTGTAGAAGGAAGGAGGTTATATTTGTCCACAACATGAGTCTAGAAATTAGATAATAATAAGGCATGTGTGTGTAGTAGTCAGGGTTTGGGGGTAGCCTTTAATCAAGAAATTGAAGATAATCTAATTGACTCACCCATAATCACACCAGTAACGCACTTCCTTCCCTATGGTAAAAAGGCCATCTTCATGGAATCCATTTTCAATCTTTGGTGGAGGTTTGCAAAAATATGAGAGATCAAGAACATCTGAGAAAAAGAGGAAAATGCATGGCAGGTATGTTTAAATTTACTGGTTGAAGGTTTTAGGGCAGAGGTGATTATGAAATTGGTTCTACTGCATAACTCCTGATGATATTCATTCATTCATTCATTCATTCATTCATTCATTCATTCATTCATTCATTCATTCATTCATTCATTCAATCAATCAATCTAGCAGCATGCCATTACTCTGGCAGTTTGCAACAAATCCACACACACCATGCCCCAAACACGCAAATAATATAGACACCACCACCACCACTGGAAACAATGGTAAACAAAATTAAAATTCAGACTTAATGGGTTAGTGAGTCTGTCATGGGGGAGGATGTTCTTAAAGGCCTCCTTAAGAAGCTTGGCTTTCACACACTTCCTGAAGGTGAAAAGGGAGGGACCTGGTGTATGTTCACAAGTATCATGTTGCAGAACATTGACCCAACACTGAAAAGTCCTGGTGGTTGTTTTCCAGGTTTCTCTTGAGGTAGCCACCCACAACAGTAAAGCCTGGGAAAAACAGGTGGACTGGGTAGACAATCTTAGGGAGAGATACTCCAACAGGTAGCAAGATCCGAAACCATTAAGGGCCTTGTAGGTCAGTAGTAACACTTTGAATTTGGCACGGAAGCCAATGTGGACCTGCCTGTATCAGGGAGATGTAAACGTGTTTCAGAGCTCATGAGACAAACCTGGCTGCCACATTTTGCACCAGCTGTAGCTTCAATATTGCTTACGAAGGCAGCCCCATGTAGAAAGCATTGGTAGGGAAGAGTTGATTACCTGTACAAGGTGCAGTGAAGCTCCAGTTCCCATCTCCTTGGCAGCGACTCATGGCTCTGTCCTCCCCATCAGCCATTCTGAATCCAGGTTTACACACCACTTTCATGAAGTCCCCAAACATATTAGATTCCTCGGCCAGTTGTGTCTCAGCATTTTGAATTTTCACTGGCCAAGGACAACTCAAGCCTTGGAAAAACAAGGGAAGAAAGATGGTGGACAATGGAACTCCTTGGTTTTATGAATGTGTCATCAGTGGGGCTGGGAGACATTTTACTTTTCAAAGTCTAGTAGGTTTAGTTGGAAAAGTAATTTAGAATTAGCAGTCCTGGATTCCTAATGAGAGATAAGGTGCTCTTGTAAGAGAAAGAACAAAGCAAGGATTTCTGCTATTATGGTATGCCTCTAAAGGTTGTCCAATGCCCAATCCTAATTTAAGGAAATCTATGGATTGGAATAGCTTTGCAAGAAAAAAAGGGAGGGAATATACCAGTTATAACATGTCTGTAAGGAATAGAAACGAGGTCTCCTTGGGCCTGGAGAAGAAGAGCAGCATGGGCCTGCACATCCAATAGCCTCTCTGGCCTCTTTTCCTTACATAGGTAGTGACTAGCCATTGACCATATCAGGTCACAGTTGTCTTGCCTACATGCTTATTTATTTCCTGGTGGAAGACATAGAGTCTATTTTATATTTTCAAATATCAGATTTCATGAAGTTTTCATTCATCTAAGCGAACACTCTTGTTGTATTCAGGACATCCCAAACTCAAATTTCTGACTTCAGGCCTGGATATCCAAATTGAAAGACAGGAGAATGCAGGGCATTAATTGCTTGAGATACCTTGGAGTCATAAAAGGACTCTGTGAAATAGAAGATGGGAGAGGCTGTGACCAGCTGTTCTGGATTCATCACAAGTGGAATGCGATTAGGGATGTGCATGACAGAGAGAAACCTTATGTAATGAAGACTGTAATGTTGTACTGTGGATTATGGGGGTCACCGTGTTTATTTTCAAGGACTAGAGCCTTGTTATTTAACTTTTTAGACCATACGTCCCACAACTCCCATTCAATGTAGCTAATGTGGACTAGGGGATTCTGGGAGTTGCAATTTTTTTAAAAAGTTCAGCTTTTAATTAGGTTGAAGGATGTTTTTGATGGCCCATGGTTTTTTGATTTTCTGGAAGGTAGGTACTGTAGAATCTGAAGAAAGCATAAGAACACCAGATTCTCAGTGAATATACTGTATATATGTGTGTATTTGGGTGTTTCAGTGAGAAAACACAGCTGAAGTCTACAGCCGGTATCCCTTATCTCTACCTGGAGAAATGCAGCTCAATCCACAGTGTCCATCACATAGGCAGTTCCTGCTTCTAGCGCATCTACGGCGTTCACAGCTCTTCTGGCATATGTGTCCTGTTGTTCCTGCAAAGTTCTTGTTCCGGGGTGGACATTTGGGATCAGTCAAATTCCTGGCTGGAAAAAGTACAGAAAGCAAGTGATTTCTTTAAAATGCTGTTGTAGAATGAGATCTGGAAATGAGCAAGAGGGGACTGTACAAATTTTACAAGTCTGCTGCTGTGATAGTTGGCATATCAGTGCTTCCTCCTCTCTGTTGTGGTAGTCTGAGATATTTTGTTGCCTTACATGGAAAATGTATGTGGTATGTTCTTGTTCACGGTAACTATTAGGGTGGCCATGCCCATATCACCAAAAAGAAGTACATCCGTTGCCAATAAAACAGTATTAAAATAACCTTACTTTGCATAAAATTGCATATACAGTACTTATTTATTTATACAGAAGCAAAATGAGAAATGATAATTTAAAAAGGATTACAGTGCATCTCCCTTGAGTAGGGAAGACTGGGATCCGACGATTGCTACCTAGGTGCAGCTCACTGTGTGGGAGACTTAGGCGTCTTGGCTCATTTCCTCCTAGTGTATGTACTTCTCAAGTGTCCCTCAGCTGAATCTATGGTAATTTTGAAGCTGTGCCCCATTAGCCTTGCAGTATCTCTGATTCCTGCCATGTGAGTCTGTTCATTGAGAATGGCCATCAAAAGAGATATCGAACTGAAGCTTAATGTAAACTGAAAACAAAAGAAACACTATTTCTCCCCTATTTGTTATTTGAATATATATGTTGAATCAGAGTTGGAATACAGCAAACATAGACTGGGTTATTAGTTAAGTGAACAATGTGTTATTACATAATAGATCCCAACCAGAAGTACCGTAATCCTCAATATGTATTTAATTTTTTAAAAAACAATCTTTATCTCCCTTCATTATATCAGGTTATATGGGAGTCTACAATCATCTACAATAGAAATTATTTAAAACCCAACACAATATAATTTTTAAAAACCTAGATCCAAGGAATAATAGGTAGTGAATACATTTTTTGAAGTAGACTGAAGGATTGCATGAATGAAAATGCTTTCCCTCAGCCTGCCTTGGTTTGTTTGTTTTCTAAAGGCAAAACGTTCACTGGATTTTTATCCATGTACTTTAAGTCTGAGAAATCTTGATGTATAGAATTAAAAAATTGTGGCCTTCTGAAATTGTTTTCAAGGGAATTCCCATCTTCATGTTTGTTTGTTTTTAAAATTTTGAACACAAGAAAGTTTGGCATCCCCCATTATAGGTTTAGATTGATTGGTTTGATCAATGGCTGTGCCTTATTTTAAATTCCCAGTTTTTCCTCTCCTGTGCGGACAATCCTGATTGTACTTGCAGTCCAAATATGGATTTGCCTTTCTACTTCCTCTATACATTAGTGGCACCAGATTTTAATCCTATTTTAATTGCGAGCAGGGTTGCCAATACCAAATGGGCTGAAAAGAGTCTCACCTGGTCTCCTGCATGTTTTTTTGCTTTTGATGTGCAGAAATCAGCTGATTTAAATTTTTCACATAATGGATAAAATAGACATGATTACTGCTTAATGCTTGTGGTCCTGCTTCTGACCCATGGTTGCCAGGATGTCAGAAACACATGTTTTAAGAGACATAAAGACTGCACCTTAAATATATTCTGTATGGAAGGGCATGCATTTAATAAAAGAAGGTGTGTGTGGTTAGTAGATTTTAATGCTTTTCAAGAAAATCTGTTTCAAAGGAATGATCCTTTCATGCCACTCTAAACTTGAATGTGAAAAGAAAAATTGTGCTACTAGCAGTAACCAGCAGGTGGAGAAAAATATTCTTGGCATGAAAAGCTGCTTGTTAGTTTTAGATAGATATAAAAGTCATATTTGTTTATGCCCTCACATTTATGTATTTATTGTTTATTTCAGTATTTTATCCTGCAAGAACCAAGGGCTTGAGCTGTATATCAATAAATTAAAATATAGCCTACCTAATTATATTATATTCTTGTGCAGATTTTAATGGTAAGGCACTTTGGGTATAAATGTAATAAAAAGACAAACAAGCAAGCATAGCATGTCCAATAATGTATAGGCAAAAGCGTAAGAATTATTGAACAGATTATATTTCTCTGCCTATCAGTCATGCAGTTCCTCAACATATAGTTTAGTTGTGTAGTTATGAAACTACGTTGGTCTTCTCCAACTGCTGCCCTGTAGATGCCCAAACTTACAGTACCTATTATACTAACTGTGGCGATCTACCTTGTGGCCCCTGTTTTATTTGGCCCTCACAAGGGATCACACCCCTTTTCCTTCACACTGCCACCAGGTATTCTCTAATACCAATTATGTTATACACGTGTGCTGCCAAAACTAAGGGCTATTGAACTTAGGAACCAGTGGTTTAATTAATAAACAGTCTTTTATTGTCAAGTACATCATAAAGGTAAATCACATATGAACGGTATCAGGTATTAACACATATTGGATCACATAGGCAATACCTTTTATTCCAAACTGCTGTATACTTTCAATCAATATCTCTCTTATAGTGCTTATAATTTCATTCCTGCTTGTTCAATATTGTTTAACCTTCTCAATTCCCTCTCCTAACATTCTCAGCTAAGTTCACCAATTTTGGACTAAAGCCCCCAGAATCCCTTAGCCAGCATGGAGGGAGGGAGGAAGGAAGGAAGGAAGAACGAAAGAAAGAAAATATGTGTGACATCAGTTAAAAGATATATGACTGGAAGTAAGAAAAAAAGGAGGAAGGATAATATGTGTGACGTCAGTTAAAAGATATATGGCTGGAAGTAAGAAAAAAAGGAGGAAGGATAGAAGCAGAGCCTGGCAATCTTTCCCAGTGGCTTGAATGTGGTACACAGGCCTGCACAAACTCAATACATTTCACAGCTCTGCTCTATTATAGACTCTCACTTGGTTGTCTTTGGGCCTGGACTCAATTTTCTACCTGTAAAATTCCTGGCTAAGTGAAAATGAATTCTGCATTTTAAGGCTGGGTGAGATATGTACCTATAACTATACTGGAGTCTCGGGAGCATGTTATGTAGGATCGCTCTTAACATGTCAGTTAATTAACAAATTCTGGGCATAGGGCAGATTGACAGACCCTCACTGTAGGATGCAACCTATAATGTATGCTGAAATAGTCTTTTCTGGCTATGCAATCCTATAACTCTGGGAGCAATAAAGAGCTGTCTTGTACTCAGGGCTCCTCACATTCCACATTCTCTCTAAGAGGAGGTAGAGTCCAAGAAAAAAAAACACCTCATTCCTGTCACTCTGAGTCATGAAACTGTAGTTAGAAAAGCACATAGAGGCAGAAGAAATGAGCTGACGATAAACTTTGCTTCCAACATTGTCACCTTCAAGGAAGGCCTGTTTCTACTAGGAATATAAACTGATCAGGGCAACACAGTCAAAGGAACCATGCCCTGGTGTGCTGAAATTGCAGAAGCACTTCTGATACTAGTCTTCACCCTTCACTGATGCTCCCTAAAAGCAATTCTAGCCTTAGCTTCGAAAGCTAGTAAAGCTGTCCCCAACAGCTAGCACTCTGAATGAGCATAAATTGTTGATTGAGCTATGAATAAGCCTGGCCACTGTGTGTGGAATGGGGTGATTTAAATACAACATTATGCCCACAATATATGTGGACAGACTATAGACTTGTAGATGAGCACATACTTTGCATACAGAAGGCCTGGGGTACAATCCTTGCTATCTCATGTTAAAAGGATCAAGTAATGGAAAGCCTATGCAAGTCTAGATGGAGAAATAGCTTGCCCTAGTACAAGTCAGAATTTGCAGAGGGGGAATCCTTTTTTGGACTAAAGCCCCCAGAATCCCTTAGCCAGCATGGAAATTTTCTGGAGTTGTAGTGCAAAAGGCATTTTTTTCAAAGTTTTGGTTTGCAGTACAGCAATTGATGAAGTGGGAAGTGGTCAAAAGAAGGGACATGAGGAGGGGAAATGAAAACTCTGTTTAGCAGAGGAGACCGAGGGCAGGAAAGAAACTCACCTCTCGTTTGTCCAGAGCCTTCTGTGAAGAATAAAGAAAGAACCAGGAGCAGTGGCAGCAGTAACAGTGAGGAACACTTAGACATGACGCCAAGCAAGCCCAACTTGGGCTCCTTGGTTAGACCCAGTGTAGTTCTTCCGAAAGGGCAAGGCTGGGTTCTGAGTAAGATGTAGCTTTCAGTCTGAGGGTTCAGATCAGCACTCCTGGGGTTTTATGAAGGAAGGATGAACTGCTTCTCCTGGGAAAGGAGTTAGGATTTGTGGGTGACAGCCTGGAGGGCTGGACTTTGAGGTCTGTGAGAGTCTGCTGGGACAGGCTTATAACCAGAAATGGCCTGTCTCTCAGGGCTCTGTATCCCCCCTCCCCTCTTATCCTGCGCACAGTGTTATTCATTAACAAAGCTTGGACAAGACCCTGCCAAAGGGCAGGCTGCCTTCCAGAATTGTCACAGGGAACTCTGAACTCCCAAGTAAGAAAACAGACTATTGTCCAGTGGCCAGGATGCAGTGACGATGAACCCAGGAGTCCTAGCCTTCCATGAATCCTATTACAACACCCTTACGACCCATCCTTCCCCAGAGGAGGGCTGCCCAGGTAATCTGTCTCCGTCCTGCCCTGTAAGCACCCAACCGTCCCCATGCTGAATTTCTCTGCTGATCCCTTCCGAAGTCCTTGCTCCCGACTCTACTCTCCCAACTTAATGCTTCCTTATTCTCCTGTAAACCCCATCAGGAGATCCTTTTAATATAAATGCGTTGGGGGGTGGGGGTGATGAGAACCAGGACTATTAAAAGGCGTACATCAGGAGCGAAGGGAGACCTCCTAGCTCCTGAATAGTCAGAAGAAGTGCCTCGTTTCCAGCGATTCCTCTTTAAACTCCTCCTCCTCCTCCTCCTCTCCCCCCCCTCCACAAACTCAGCCTCCCCCCCCTTCCAAACCTTCCCGATCGAGAAACAGACACTGCCCAAACCCACAACCTGTTTGTTTCTCTCCCTCTCACCCGGCGGAGCTGCTGCTGCTGCTTCAGCTTTTCACCTGCTTCTCCTTCTCCTTTCGTCTGCCGTTTGCCTCGCTTCCCTGTCCTTCTCCTTCCCTGCCTTCCCTTTCATTTCTCTTGCACTTCCTTGCACCGCTTGTTTTTGGTGGGTCTGACCTCCCGCCTATCTCTCCACATCGCCTCATCTTTCATTCACCTCTCGCATACATCCCTCTGCGTCCCTCAATTTTTTTGCATCCATCCATCCATCCATCCTCCCACCAGCTCCTCCATTGTTATCTTCCTCCACCCATTCCCTGCTTTCCATTGATCCCCACCCCACCCCCAAATCATTGCCTGATCTGCCGCCCGGGCATCGATCAGTCTAACCCTTTCCCCCTTTCCTACATCCACAACCCATTTTCTCCGGCACCCTCCGCTCACTGCCGACTCCATCCCTCCTCTCCTCTCCTCCGCCTCCACTTCTCTCTCCTCCCTGCCTATTCTCCGGCTTGTGGGTCAGGGCACTGGGGCTTCCTCCAGGGGGCGCCATGGCGCTGCTGAGCTCCCCCACGGAGACCGAATGCTTAACCAAGCCGCTTTTCTGCCGCAAGGGGGCGCTACGCCAGAAGGTCATACACGAGGTGAAGAGCCACAAATTCACCGCCCGCTTCTTCAAGCAGCCCACCTTCTGCAGCCACTGCACGGACTTCATCTGGTGAGAAAAACATGATTCCTCCTGTCACGTGTGCCTTTCTTTGCCCTGCCCCTGCGGTCTTCGGGTTTTGACCCCATCACTCCCTTTATCACTGTTTGCATCAGCTTGCATCCTGTGTCCTATATAACCCTGTGATCCTTATCCTTCTCTACTGAGAACTGCCTTTTTTTTGACACTCGGATTTCACAGGTTGGTTAACGTAGTAGCAGGGACGGAAAACAGCATCCTGAGAATCTCAGTGTTCATTTTAAAAACTTGGTTTTAAAAGCTAAGTTTCTAGTCCTCCTTATAGCTGTGGGGAGGGAAAAGCCTTGAGCCAGGCTTAGTGGAAGCTCTCCAACGAAACTGCTGCTGAGTTGCATATTTAAGGGCCTGAAGTGTCTATGCTTTGTGTAATCCCTTGCTTTTCTCTATAATAAATGAAAAACGGATTAAGGGATGCAAATTTGGGCAGCTCATAGTATCACGCTCCTTAATGAAGAATTTGGATGTTCTTGGCCCCAATGTGTTTACTCACACAACCAATGTTGTGCTGACCGGTGGTCCCCCTATAGGTGCTTCCAGGCGAGAACAAACCCATTGACGTTCTGTCACCATTCTGCCTTTCCCTCTTTAAGTATATCCTGTAAGAAGGGGTGGGGTGGGGGAGAGAGAGAGAACAAACAGTGCAATAACCTGAGAGAGCTGCAAATGGATGCTATGCAGCTATTTTGTCTTTACCTCCCTAATATATTTTCTGTAAGAAGGAAGGAAACAGGGAAGAAACAGTGGGATGACTTGAGAGGGTTGCAAATGGGAAAAGGATGTTGTCTGGCCTCCATGTAAAGTCCCCACCCCTGTGAGTGGATCAGAATGATGATAGAACAAAAGTTTTGGCTGGAAGAACCTAAGACATTTCTTCCTGATCTTTTAGGGGTTTGACATTGTTGACAAAGGGATCTGTCTGGGAGATGCCTTTTCTGATGATGCCCAGGTTGAAACTTAGGGCTTCATAGATGTAAAGTAATGGCTGTGTTGAAGAGTCCCCCACACCCACCCCACTTCTCCTGGCAGATGTCTTTATTTTTATAAATCCTGTTACCCCACTGTGTTTTTCTGTAGCCTGACAGACCTTGGATTGCAACCAAATAAATTCTAAAGATGCAACCCGAACTCATGTTGCCTCTTTTACTTCCCTAGCTCTGTCTCAAAACCTCCATATTCCTTGACACTTATAAACCAGTTACTGTACTTTAATCCAACAGACCCTTCAGTGTCATGATATGCTCTGGTCCTATTTCAGTCTCCTCAATTGTGACCCTATATAATCTTATTGGACCCCATAATATCTTGACTGAGCTATGTGTAGTCAGTGCGCGCCACCCCTCTTCCATCATTTTTTTTTCTTGCCAGGAAATGAAATTCTGCTATCAGGAATCGAGGATATCAGAATATATTATGCAAATTAAGTGTGTTTTGCGTAAGATGTCTGATTCTGGATACTTCATCATACTTTCTGTGATTCAGCCATGGAAATCATTAAGATTTTTGTTCCAACAGTAAGGATGATAGAGAGGAACAGAAGGTAGGGGGGAGTGCATGGAGGTGGTACAACTTATAACAATGAGGGCTAGAAGTGTGCTTTTTGAAATGCAAGATGTGATTCCACACTAGAAATAGCCCTAGATTTTTATAGCCATAATCTCCTGAATTCTTATTCTTGGCCCATAATTTGAAAATGGGAAGGAAGGACAGAGAGATACTAATTGCAGATAACCATGACCTCAGAATAGGCACTATACTGCCTAGGGACTTTTACATCCTCAGAAGAGATATCTCTGATAGTTCTCTTCTGTTCTCATTTATCCCCAATTTAGGACTTTTGTCCCATAGCGTATATAGGGCTGAGAGGCACACACTTTTTTGTGACCTGCCCTATGATATATCTTTCCTCCCTTTAATGCATCTGCAGGGACAAGCATACATGACAACAAGGGGTTGAGCAAAATCACAGTACAACTTTGGGCATCTTGCCATACCTATTTTTTAGGGTTTCTGGGAAAGAGTAGTATAAATATTAAGTAAGATATTGAAATTAGGACCTTCCTGTCTAATGGTTCTTTTCATCTTCTGTATTCTTTCATGGCAATTTAGTTTTTAGAGTGGGTGTGACAGACAAAATAACAGCACACTGCTTTCTCTTTCTAAAGAACAACGTACTATTATTATATCTCGCCCTCCCTCCGCCTTTCTTGTCCTCTCTTATCATAGCATACTTCAAGATCCCCCTTGCTCCCTCCTTGATCCTCTTTCCTCAGACATATTTTTCTCAAATGTATTTCTGAAGTGATGGAAATTTGTTCCGACACATAGTTCTGCTGCCTCAAAGAACTGGTGACAAACTCAGCAGATAATTCATTTTCTGCTTATTATGGCCACAGATCCCAAAAAAATGAAAATCTATAAAAATATTACCACTGGGAGGGTGGCAAACCATGCAGTTATGAGGATCATCTAACAACAGCTTTCAAGTGTGCCAAATGGTTGAAGTCTTATGAACAGACGAGGAAGAAACTGAATCCCTCTGCATTTGAATGGAAAACACAAGGGGATAGGGTTGTAGCTGAAGAAGAAAGAGGTTCATGATTAAATTGTTCTCATGCTTAAGATCCCTGTTTATCATTAAGATTTCATACTGTGATACATCTCTCCCTGTGACCACCATCCCTCCGGCTCCACAGCTATCAGCCATCCAAAAGAGGATTTTCTCAGCCTTGGCCCCCCAGATGTTCTTAGACTAAAATTCCCAGAAGCCTTCACCATTAGCTGGGCTGGCTTCGATTTCTGGGAGTTGTAGTCTAAGAACATTTGCAGATCCAAGGTTGGGAAACACTGGTCTGAAGGTTTCCTGCACTCTCAAATGACTCTATCCTTTTTCTCTTTCTCTATTCTTCTTGGTATTGCCCCTTCCAGAACACCCACTTCATGCTGCTTCTCTCACTTCCTTCAAGCCCTTCCTTTAATCCTGCACTTTCTGTTATGCCTGCGGTATAACTCCCTGCTCTCCCATTTCCTTAGTGCAAAGGTAAGAAACCTGTGGTCAAGTGTTCTCAAGCTATGATTCCTATAATCCTTGACCAGTGGCTTCATGGGCCAGGACTGATGGAAAGTAGAGTATTCAGCAACATCTGGAGGACCAAATGTTCCCCACATCTTCCTTAGTATGTACGTAACATGTAACTAAATTCCAACCATTTCTGCCCCATCTCCCTTCCTCCCATGTGTTGTTTCCTGTTTTAAGTTTTGCATTGTAATCTCCTAGACACAGAGACCTGCCTTCTTTTTCTTTGCAGAGTGCTACACACATTGATCATACCATATAAACACAAGCAAACTCATAAATACATAAAAATGAAGATCAGTCATCCGAAAGAACCCAAGGTTTAAGAGAAGTGTAGAATCCCAAAATTACAAGCCATTATGAAGAGGCCATACTTTACCATGGTAGCAAAGCTATTGATGTCCTCTTCTCTAGTTCCTGCAGCAACCTGGCTAGGGCCGGCTATATCGTTAGGCAAAGTAAGGTGGCCACCTCAGGTGGCAGATGCTGGAGAGTAGCAGAGATGTGTAGGAAGGACACACTTGTGTGTGCCACACCGTCAGTTATGCAGTCTTGAAGCCAGCCCACTGTCCTAGTGGCCTCCCCAGAAGAACTGTGGGCTACTTGCTCTGCTACTAGCTCTACAAATAAGGCTAACCACTGGGGCAGAGGAAGACAACCATTTCAAACAGCTGTTTTGAGGGAATATGAAAGAGCAGCAAATTATTAGTTGTCTAATATATTATAATTGTATTTTAACCCCAGGGAGATGTGGGTGTGGGCTTTTATGCTTCAGATGCCAACATAAATTTGGGCAGCCTTGGTTACCCCACACCCTGAAGTGGGGGCAGGAGATGCACTTTCCCATTTGACCACAGGCAGCAAAATGTCTTGGGCCAGCCCAGCCTGTTGGCGTCTGAGGCTAACACTAACAGTTCTGCCACCAAAAATGTGCAATATTTATCAAGCCTGAGTGGTTCAGCAAAGTGTCTACCACAAGCTGTAAGTGGCAGCTGGTTGCTTTACAAAAAGATTAGGCCCAGCCCTCGAGGACGATGGGACTGTCAATGGCTATTACTTGTGAGAATTGCCTTCCTTTGCAGAGAGGCCTTAGCTTCTGAATTTGAGGGGAAAGTATAACTTTCTATGAACCGTTCAGCAAATGTTTGTTTGGGTGCTGGTGAAAGGAGGATGCTCCCACCCAGTCTTATTCCCTACTCCTTTTGGAAGGTAGACAGGACAGGGAGTGAATAGATGGCACACAGACGATTCTTGTGGGATTGTATTAAGTGGGTTCTGTAACAAAATGTTGCAGTTCAGAGTGCTTCAGTTCATTGGGCTTGCCATGAGCTCCTCTGAGAAACTTCATTCTGTAACCTCACCGTTTCCATTTTCTGCTCAACCAGCAAGCACTTTTGTGGCTACTGAGTATATTCAGTCCAAAACCTGGTAATTCAGTTATGGGTAGGCGAAAGGGGGATCTACTTGGGATAAAGTTAGGATGGTAAAGTGCTGGGCTGGTGGTTTTTACCGTACTTACTGTAGCACATGTAATGTAACATGCTGCTACCCACTGAACAGCTGCTCCAGGTCAGTCAGAGTGCTGAAAACATGGTTTAATCAGTGGTATGCATATGTATGCATGGGTGGGAGTAGGGGTGACTCGTGCACAAGGATGGAGGGAGATTCACCCCAAAATTTCAGGTTTTGAGTTTTTACTGTGTGGAAGCAAGTCACGTTGGGTTCCAGGGGCCTTGCGTAACAAGGGGGTAAACTACACATTACACATCTTTCCTCAGAGATAGGGATAGATTCTCTCTCTCTCTCTCCCTCTCCCTCCCCGTCTCCCTCTCTCATTCACTTGCTATGTTATCAGCCTTGGAAGGTGCGAGTTGCATTGGAGGAATGGTGGGAGGGGTGA